AAGCGCTATATCAAATACAAGGATTATTATTTTATTATTATAAAGAGCTTGTGTAGAAACATGCTGATACAGGATTCCTTTAATACAGGCAGCTTACATCTCCATAGCCCACGACTGTTTTGTGAATGTTATTTAGAGTTCAATGTCAAAATCACAGTTTAATATAAATACGTAAAGAAAAGCTTAATTGAAGAGTTAAATTTCAGCTTGGTTTAACATTCAAATGACAAATTAATTTTAGAAAAATCGGGGATGCAGAAAGGTCATTTGTCTCACCTAACTTCTAGGACTTTAATGCGATTTTTATTTTAATAATAATAATCCTTACATTTGATCTAGCGCCTTATGACTTCTCAAGGTTTTTCACAGAATAGACTGTAAAATGAATTGACTGTATATTTTGTGGGCGAAACGCAGCAGACAATTGCACACAGCAGTGTCCCACAACAATGGTGGATTGAGTGACCAAATTGGTACACTGAAGAATTTGGTCAGATAATTTCAATATACAGCCATTCAAATAATATGTAACTTGATTTATCAAATTATTTATGGAAAATATTCCCACCTATATTTTGAATGGGCACATTAGGTAAATGTTAGGTGTCTCAAGAGTGCTGCATCAGTGCATTTAATATTTTAACTATGAGAGGCATTAATAAACCAATGTTTGTGGCACTGCACATCTTCACAGCATTACTCTGGCCATCATACCATAGAATTCAGGATTCATCTGGCTTTGCTAAGTTGAAGCAGTACACTCAGTTTCCTGCGCTAAATTCTCCCAGGTAGTCAGGTCAGTTTACATCGCTTCCTATATAGCTGATGTCATTTTCTGTGCACAGAAATTACCTCCAACATCACTTTGCAAAAAAAATTACATGAGTGGAACTTTGTGGCACATGCACAACTTATCGGAAGTGATGTCAGTTTTCACAAAATTATCTGAATAGTGAACATTTTCTATTTTGTACTCAGTGTAAAACATTAAGATCTAATAAGAGATCCAAATTGAGGTGCACAAATTTGTGCTCCTAAAATGGCTGGTCTAAGACTGAGAAACTGTGAGGCAGCTGTTTATTACGGCAGTATTACCTTCCATTTATGTCCATGTGCCAGTATCGCCTAAAAAAAGCCTTCATGTATAGATGTTGAAGTCAGGGAGGGCTAAAGAGTTTAAGGTTTCAGCTGGAAAGGCTTTTTAAACTTCTATTCAGAGGGAGTACATGTTCTTATCTTGCAGTGTTAAGTCTTAAAACCAACCTCAAAAAGCATTTAACAAATCTCAATGGAGTGCTTATTGAGCGACTGCAGTGCCTAGTACAGTATTTAATAGGCTACAGATGAAAAAGTGTCTGATAGACAGCTGCATTACATTCTGATGAAGGTCAGCATGCCATAATGGAAAAGCAAAATTGCTTGCACAGTGTGTAAGAGTAGTGCAATTATCATTCACATGTGTCTTCCTGCCTGTGATTAAAAATGGATTGTTTTATGCATAAGAGAACGTATGAAGTAATATTCAGTAATGTAGCTGGGGAATGTGTGATTAACTCTTATCCAATTGATTGTCTGCAAGGATGACTTAAATATTATAATAGGTAATTATAATAGGTAGAGGTTTGTTCTTAAATCTTAATGTCAGTGCAGGTGTACTATGCTGATGATAGTAACAGAGATTTTATTCAGGTTAACGTGTCCTGCTGTTTTGCTGCTGTATTTTGGCAGCATGCTTTAAATATGGCTGATGCCTTTGTGAAACAGAGCTATCCTGACACCTTTGTGAAATGTGATCAGGTGCTACCTGCTCCATCATAGAGCTGCATTCCCAACAATTGAAAGGAAATAAACTTCTTTTGTTATTATTATTATTATCCTGTACCATGAGGTTTGTAGAATGGACATCTGAATGCTTTATCTTGGTTCATGAGTTTGAGAGAGCCGTGCTTTTGTTTCCAAGTGGGATGAGACAAAAAAACGGATTTGATATTTCGACCATTCTATCATTAAGATCAGTTATATTCTTAATGGGACATCCATTTTGCAATTTAAGACTTTAATTCAAAGAAACAACTTGTTAAATATTTTCGTGGACTTCTGATCTGAATTTTAATCAACTATTTTTTACAAAAGTACAAAAAGGAACATTGGTATTTTAAAAACTGATAAAAATGAAAATAGTATAACTTATTATTTAATTGCTACATAAACAGAGTGTGCCAGGGTTTTCTCTAGTCAGTTAATGTTTGAGATTAAATAGGGAAAATCTGACAGGAAGAATATGCCTTGAAGACTTGATTAAAGCTATTGCAAATTTGTCCCATTTCAAGTCTTGAGAAATACTTTCTATGAGGTGAAAGGAAATGTATTAGGTATGAATTTGATGGTTCAGTGACTAAATTTTAATCTAAAGCAATCCAATAGAAGTGTCTGATGTAGGCATGTTTTGGACTGTTGTTGGGAGTAATGTACTTTTACTGCCCCCTTATGGATCTGTGCTGTTACGTGAAACCTGAACTCCATTTGGTGATGTACTGCATTTAAATAACCTGTTTTTTTGTTTTACCATGTTGCAATTTATTTGCTTATTGACTTAAACCGTTTGTATTGCTGAACGATTTCACCCAAACTGTTGCAGTACACAGATTTTGGCCAGTTTAACTTATCAAAATACGTAACAACAACAATAAAATACATAAATATTCACTAATGCTATTTGTACATGTTAATGTAACTTCAATGGCAATTGTTACCTTTCAAGAATTGAATAAGATTTACTCTTTAAGCATGTGTAAGTTAAGACCTTTCAGAACGAAGTAAGTCTCACTCATTCCTCCCCCTTTCATATAGGTAATGAGAGATATAGAAAAGAAATCTCCTGCCAGCTTGCACAATTGCCGTTTTAAATTATACTTCTCTCTCTACAGAGACGTGCCATTTCAAGTGTCTCCACTAAACATCTTGCAGACTATTGGGTGTGGCTACAGCTCAAGAGTTGTACCAGTCAGGAACATTCAGTGACTGTCCAATATGCCTGACGACATAGAACAATTCCCAGCTATACGTGGAGATCCAAAATGGCTGGTCTCTGCAGGGAAGAGGAAAGAATAATGTATTTTCTTTTATTATTTTCACATTATCAAACTTGGGAATGAAGTACTATATATCAAAAGTACTTTTTTTTCTTTTTCCCCGCCCAACCATCCACTCATTCACAATCACACGCGCATTTGACTGGTACTTTGAATGAGTAGCTCTTTGTTGGCCCATAAACATCTTTGAAATTTCAAATGAACATGTTCTCTTCAACTTCTGAGTCATTGCAATAAATGGGTTTTAATTTTTAAACTAGATTTTTAAGGGGAAATGTTTGTATTTGTTTTAAACTTGAACTGATTGATCTAATGTCGCAGTAATGTTCAGTTGAATTAATCTTTTTTTGACAGAGAATCCTGTCACATAGAATCATGAGATTCCTTTCAGCAGATGCTGTGAAACAAGTGTGCTCATTATACTTGGTCTCTAAGCACCACATGATTGTTGCTAGCATGGAAAATGCAACACTAAAAATTGACTGCAAATGCTTCTGCATCATGGAGATTGTTGGGTGTGGATATTGCTCAAGAGTTGTACCAGTCAGGAATAGTAAGGATTGCCCAAAGTGGTAGCCTCATTGTGGGTTTATGTTGTGCCAACTACAGTACAATACCTAGAGTCAAAATAGTACCTTAGACCCATTGAGTTTTAGGATGTGCATTATTTCAAACTGTTATAATTGCTCATATAATCCAGCTTTTGAACTCAACGATGATGGACAAGTAGGGAACTACATACAAAACCTTATGGTCCAGAACCCAATTATGTCATAAACAAACCTGTATTTTGGCAATGTATATTATAATGGACTTGTCTTCTGTGTATATGTGTGTACAACTATTTGTGAGTACCAACTTTTGATCTCAACAAACAAAAAGTATTTTACACAATATTTTAAACAAACCCTCCTCAAACAGAGATCTACTTCTGAAAATTCCTGCATTGAGAACCCGCTGAATGTTATACTATTTATCTTTAAACATTTTGCACTTGATCCACAACTTGTGGCCTCAGTAACTTAAAAATGATGGGCATGATAAGTGGAATGGAGCTATTACATGGAGATGCTTCTGTTTACATCTAGTATATTGCAGCTTGATCCCATATTTCCAATGGCTGTTTGTGAGTCCTTGCTGTCACCAGCAATTGCTGATATTACCTACACAAGACAGTGATAGTGACAACTTGACAGTGATTACCTGCAAAGAACTTTGAGTCATTTTGACATGATAAGGAATACAAAAATGCATTTGCCTTCTGAGTCCAGGTAGAATTCCAGTTATGTTTAGCATTTACATTGTGCCTTTTACATACAATAAATGTTTCAAAATACTTAAGAGATACGATAAGAAGCATTGTGCAAAAAGAGGAAGGGAGAATTAAGATGTTGCCAAAAAGCACAGTTGAAAAAAAATATTTTTAAGAGAGTTTTATAGGCAGGGTGAAAGAAAGCAAAATACAGGGGTTTTTAGAAGTGTGTTATAGAGGCAGGGCATGTTGACTTAAGATGGGCCTGCAATGTTAGAGTGAAGAAGGCACAAGAAATAGACCAAACAATAAATTAGTGGGCTGAAGAACAGGGCAAGAGCGGTATAAGTATAAAACAAAATAAATTTATCAGGTGAATGAGTTAAATAATTCTTGTTTATTTGTCTTACAAAAGTTTCTGCAGACAGCTGTGTAGCAGCACACAGCCGCCTTATAAAATTCCATAATTCCTGTCGCTGAAACAACATAAGGCTGGAAAGATTCATACGCAAAACATTCTGTTTATTATTTTATGCTTCAGTCTCAAATGTCTTCTATTTTAGAGTCTCAGTGTGACCTAAGCTGATTTTAAAAATAAAGACCTGTTTTCAAGTTGTTTTTTAAAGAGTTGATAAGCCATATTCTTTATTTGACAGGTTAAAAGTGTGTTCAACATGACTGCAAAGGAAGGAAGGAAGCGATCTGTCAGTGCTCTGGTGGTAGTTGGAAACAGAAACGGAGCTGCTGGTAAGTATTGGAGAGGCAATAACCAGGCAATTCATTTCTCTTTCAGAGCTATCAAAAGTGAACGTAACAATATGGCTTTATTTGCAAAATTTTGGAACTGATCATATGGCATTGATCAAAAAGTTGGCTTTAGGGAAAATAATTACTATCGTAGTATTTTCCATAGATTATGGGTTTGAACCAACATTACTGACATGTGAAGAATAATCTGCTGCTGCAAATTACCATTAACATAAACCAAACTTATTTTGTATCCATCCTCAACTTCACAGGTATCACTTAAGAACATAAGAACTGCTAGAAGTAAAAAAGACCAAGGTCCATCTAGTTTGCCTTCCACCTTCCTCGCGGTCATATACACATAATATAATAAATAATAATAATAATCCTTGCATTTCATATAGCGCTTTTCACATCTTCTCGACATCTCAAAGCGCTTCACAGAATAGACTGTAAAGTGAATTGACCGTATATTTGTGGGCGAATGAATACATATATGTCCCGAGCTATATATGGATACATATATGTCCCGAGCTACCTGTGTACTATATCCCATAATGTTGGAAAAACTATCTAATCTATCTAAGCAATGTACAAGTACCATTTGTACCCTGAGTTTTAGATTAGAGCATGGAAGTCCACCCAGGTAAATGCTGTTTTGGGGGAATTGGTAGAACATTGGTAAGAGTGGATGAATCTTGCTTATAATTTCCTACATGGCAAATTACTCATCTCATTTGAGGACGTTACTAGGCTCTACCTAACAAGAAAAAGAAAAAATAGAGGGGGCAGTCATCCCAGCTCACTCTCACATACCTTCTAAGTCAGTTACAAGATAGGTCAGTTACGACTGGGTACTTCATCTGCCTCGCCCACTCAGATGAAGGTGATAAAGAAGAAAGTAACAGCAGCATCCATTTAATAAAAAAAATTGCCTGGCCATTGTGTTTAGCAAAGAAGTTGTCTGGCATAAGAAGACTTTATTAGCATCGAAATGAGAGAGAATATACTATTACTTGATAGGGTGTGCCCGTCCGTAGCCACAACCATATCTTGCTTGGTGCAATATTTTCTTTTCATTTCTGACAACAAACACTTACAAATCGATCGAAGGTGAAAGTGACTGTTAACCAGGCTGGGTATATTACAAAAAATGGTTGTTTGGCATAGGCTTTGTAGCTGCCACCAACTGCACATTGAACCTGGTCATAAACTTGATAACGTGGTCTTGGAGAAGGATCGGTTATGGAACATCTTTGTACTGCAAGGTTTCCTCTATGAACACAAATTACTTGAACAAATCAAATCATGGGTAAATTCAGACACAAAGTCAGGTAAACCAATTATTGTTTACTCCTAACTCGGAATTGAGAGTGCTAACAACATTTACACATGGAGCATAATCCCCTCGGTGCATAATGTACCTCATTTTTGTATATTTGTACTGCTGTCTAAACATTTCCATTCATACCAATAGCATAAGCTATATTATGTTTAGCTGCAACATACAAATAAGTCACATAAGGATGAAAAGGTGGGGCTGCGCAACGAGATTCATGATTGAAAACTGAGATCCTCTAAGGGCAAGTCATGCCTGTAATTAACTTGAGGTATTCCTGCTCCATAGTGTTTGAAGCAGGTCACCGAGTTCCCACAGGTAGGCTGTGTTGTGCTGACTGTTGCCACCAATATATCAGTTAATGACTCTCAAGCTGTTATGAGTGAATCTCGTTGTAACTCCAAGGAGAAATCCAGTGACCAGCAAGGCCAGAGACTTCTTGCCACTTCTGGCAAGAGAAGTGAATGGACTAGTGATTTATTTACTGAGAGTACTAATTTTACAATCAACTAAAGCATGTCTGCCTCTCCTCTGTTTGCAATTTCTAGCTGACCTCATTCAGAAAAGTTGCTGGACTTGCAGGGTTTCCTCTGTGAACACAAATTACTTGAACAATTCAAATTAACATGGCAGTGCTCAGGTGCAGAAATAACAGCAGCATTCATTCCCACAAGCTCATTAATTCCTAATTTTTTTGACAATTCTCCAGTGTACAGCTTGCTGTGTCAATCCCACGCACTGGAATCATACTGGTGAAGGTTCTCCTCTCTCCAAACGTGTGTGGGTCTGACTGAGTTAATTGGAAATTAGAGTCAAGAGCGATACAAAGCCTGCCTTTGAAACACATCACCTATCTCCAGCACCAGGGGTGCCACTGGTGTGATACTGGTATGATGATTTGACTCCACCACGCTTTCTGCTGTGTTGCACAGTTTGAGAAAATGTGTTCAGCAGGCTGAGGTTTGGAGTCGTGTAAATGATGCACATCATAATTCAGTCGTTCTGATTACTTGTCCAAATGGGTAAGGAGGTATCGTGTTATTACTGCAGTTGAAAAATGTTAAAAACCAATTAGTTTGGCAAGAAGCATTATGCTTGAATCAGGACATTTTATAAAGTACAGAGAAAAATATTGCTGTTTTTAAATCTTTGTGGCAGCCCATCTAGTCTTTCATTCAAGCACTTAAATAAAGCATAGACCATTTGTTATACACATAAGTGATTAGTCTCCTAAAATGTGCTGTTGAATGAAGGTAAAGAATTAGTATTACCAGCATAGGAAAATATAAAACAGTAAAATATCCCATCATGTCCATGGGAATTTTCATGAGCTCGGTCTGATTCACTTCATTTCCTGAAGATAAGTTCTGCAAAGTTGATTCCCAGTAAGGGAAATTATGGAAACTGTATAATATCTCTTTGAGCAACATTCTTTATCGAAACCAGTTGCTCTCCATCTAATGATATTTCCATAGCCCCAGCAGCTCAGGAACCATCCTGTTCCATGAGTATTTGATTTTGCCTAACTTTATTTAACAGTCAATTGATTTTCACACAATTTTCTAACTCTTTTTAAGGAATTCATCACCCAGTATTAACTTTTTTTTGAAACTTTTTCCATATATGTGTGGGAGAAATTTCCAGTTTCTATTCTTGTTTGTTAATTTCGCACTGGTATCTTCTATGTATGCTTACCCAGTCCATGTTAAAATGCTTGCTCAAATTTACATAAAACATTGGCTCTCAACATGTCTCGTTACAGTTGTCTTTTTCCTAATGGAAACAAGTTAAATTCTGTGGATTTCTCAGAATTCCCAGAATAATTACCACCGAGAAGAATGTGGTGAGAATGGGGAACTCTCTGCCAGAGGTGTTTGAAGCAGAAAGTATCTATCAAAGCGTTTGAGAGAAAATACATACATAAGAGAGAACAAAATAAAGGGTAGAAATCGGAGTGGGGATTAGGATGGGCGGAGGCTCAGGTAGAGTATAAACAACGGCATGCATTAATTGGGCCAAATGGCCTCTTTCAGTGCTGTAGGTTCGGTATATGTAATTCTATTTTTAGTCATCTTTCTTGACCTTTTCTAAACTGTTTCAAATCCATTGATTTCATTTTGACATAGGGTGCCCCAAATCACATGCATTATTATCTTAACAATGCACTATACAAGGTTAGAGTAACTTTACAAAATTTAATTAAATGCCTTTACATTGCATATGGGTACCCTTGTTGATAACAGGCTCATCTTGACTGAACGCTTTCAGCAAATGGTCAGTAATAATGGTCAAATTATTTTGCATCTTTGCTAATGAATGTGTGAATCTCATCGCTGCTGAAGCCACCCACCCCTCCTGTAAAATAGCATGAAAGTCAAATGGTTTGTTAAAAAATTGGAAAACTGCAACATTAACTTTAAGATATTGACGTTCATTTTTATCTCAATAAATAATTTCTTTCACTTTTTTTCTCATATAACATTAATGAAAAAATTAATAGATTTTCTTATTTGAATTGGAGTCTCCTCTCTTGGAATCCAAGTTGCATTTTTTCCCCTTTGCATCCTCCAGAGCTTTGTATGTAGCACTACATTAATATTTTTGTATAACTAATAATATCCTCTTATATTTTATTCAGGTTTTGCATTAGGCAAAGCAGCTGACCGAACAACTGCCCTTCGAAAGGTAGGATTTTTTATATCAATAACTGCAAATTTGATTAAATACTCAAAGGAAAAGTCTTACGATAGTTTGACTATCTATGAGAAAATTATTCCTCAGATCTATCTGTTCAAAAAAAGTGTCAAATGACTTTTCTCATTGCTAAGGCTCAGCACTTAGCACGGAACCTCCTTTGCTTCAAACTGCAAGTAAACTGCCTTTGATCCAATTTAATTGACGGCAACAAGAAAACATAACCTTTGCACAGCTCCTTGTGTTTCCCCACTGAAACAAGCGAGCACTAATATGTGCAAGGAGCCAAGGTGAAGTGGGAAACATAGTATTCATTCATTCAACCTTAGAAATAACAAGAACATGTTCACCCCAATTGGGAGACTGGGAGCCTAAAATTCCACCTCATTGTCTTAGTCCTAGAATAATGCGTTAGTAATTAAGGTAATGCAGAACCCCTACCCATAATTTTACAATTCTGTCTTAATTTGGAAGCTAAAAAAAAATACTTTGATCATTCAATCCATGAACTGTTTGTGGGACACTGCTGTGCGCAATTGGCTGTCGCCTTTCGCCCACAAATATACAGTCAATTCACTTTACAGTGTGTTCTGTGAAGCGCTTTGGGACGTCCTCCCGACGTGAAAAGCGCTATATCAAATGCAAGGATTATTATTATTATTATTCTGTGAAGAGCTTTGAGACATCTAGAAAACGTGAAAAGCGCTCTATCAAATGCAAGGATTATTATTATTTTGTATATAGGAAAACCAGTATATAAGACAGAATTCAAGAATTCGCCAAGATTCTGCAAAACCTTAAAATTTATTGCAATGATCTTAAGGCTAAGAGTATGAGAATTGTCAGGCATGTGATATATGACAAGTTCTGAAAAATATTTACCAGAAAATCATCTCTCTTTTCCCACAATATAAATACCTTACAAATTAATTTGTTATTTTGAGCAAATGCTCTAGGATATACAACAGTCGGTGGCTATATAGTGTCTTTAATGTTGGGAGGACACTTGAAGAGCTACACATGGATAACTAGGAGCCTGAACTTGGGAGGGAGGGTGGGTGGGGGGGGGAGGTGGCAGAAACGCTAGGTCTTAACACTTGAAGGCAGAGAGTGGGGTGATACTCAGAATATACAAGTTTGGGACACTGGAGGGGGGATTTATCCTGCAGTATTGCTTTGAGATTATTTTTTAGTTTTTAAATTCTTTGTCCTGTCATTGCCTTGGCACTTGTGCCTTCCATTTATTTATGCATATTTCCCCATTTCCATTCTCCTCATTTTCTTTCAATATGTTTTTCTTCATCTAATAAATCAATTTGTTAGTGCTTTTGAAGCAAGTTACAGCAACCCCCCGGGTATCTGGAATTCATACCTAGCCTGAAACCAAACATTTGAAAAAAATTCTGCGGGCCAGCGAGCCCGTCAACTCCGTCCAGCCCTCTCTCTTATCACACACCAATGGCACGCTGAGCAGCCTCACCGTGCTTGCTGCCTTCAGTGGCCAGTTTGAATCCCACAAGCAGAAGGTAGCTCATATACTAACTTCACTTGTGGAATTCAAACCATTACATTGCAGTACTGGCAATATGTGACCACTGCATCATTCCCATCTCATGGCTGAGCTAAGAGCTGACAGAAAGTACTGTTCAACCCAGACATGATGGACGTTCATGTGCTAGAACATTTAAGTGATTTAAAATTTGGTACGTTGTGAGTGGAAGTCAAGTTTGATTGCTGGAACTAATAGTTTAATAATGGTGTTAGTTTTTCATACTTTTCAGTGTATTATTCAATGTTTTAATTAGTTTGTTTTGTTAAATTTATAGGCAAAGAATCGAGCCATTCACTACTTGTACTACATAGAAAGGTACAAAGACCACACCAGTAAGTTTCCATTGTTTTGTCTTCATTGAACAATTACTCCATCCATCCATACTTCATATAGAAATCTTCAAACCCTCCATTTCTGCTCATCCTTGAGCAAAAATAATCTTAATTGTATTTTTTCACCTGTTGAATAAAATATGTGGCCACTTGTTTGTCACTAGACAATGCAATTGTGCATCGAAACACAATTTACTTTGTCGAACAGTCTTATTTGGTTGAGTGATGCTCAGTATCCAATATTTGTCCTTATTGTCTCCATTATACAACATTTGCATCTATACTTTAATGTGAGGAGGATTACTCAAATGGCTTCACACAGCTCAGTGGGAGCCCGAGCTTGGGAAAGGGAAACATGACAGAAAGCACAGTTGAAAAGACAGGTCCTAAGGTGAGGGCAAGGTGGAGAGACTCCAAGGTGAAGGTCCAGCGGGCAGGGTAGAAAGGCTGAAAGCTTGCCCTCCGATAGTGAAGCAGATACAACACAAAACTTGTGTTCCGGAGCACTTGACAGTGACAGAGTCTGACCTTGAGCCAGGGGAGAGGGAGTGGGGAGGTGACTGTAAGTACAATCGAAAAGGAAGGTCTTTAGGCAGGATTTGAAAGAGGGGTGAGGGAGGGGACCAGGCGGAGGGATTGAGGGAGAGAGTTACAGATTTTTGGGGTGTAGTGGCTGAAGGCATGGCCTCCGATGTTGGAGAAGAGGGGAAGAGGGACAAACGAGGCCAGAGTCAGCCAAGTGGAGGCAGTGGGTGGTGGAGTGGGGGGTTAAGCAGATCAGATAGGTAGGGAGGTGCAAGGGCATGAAGGGATTTGGAAACAAGTGAGAGGATCTTGAAATTGATCCGTTTGGTATTTGGGAGCCAGTGGAGCCTGGCAAGGACTGGTGTGATGGGGGTAGAGGGTTCTTTGCGGGTGAGTATCTGCGTGGCGGAGTTTTGAATCAGTTGAGTTTTGTGCATGGTGGAGTTGAAGACCAGAGAGGAGGACATTGGAAAAATCCAGCTGGGAAGTGACAAAGGCGTGGACGAGGATTTCGGCTGCTGTGGGTGTGAGGTAGGGACTGAGATGGGCAATGTGACAGATCGAGTAAAAGGACATAAAGAAGGCCGGTGTTTGATGAGCGAAGAGAGCAACCAGTGCAGTAGAGTTGCAGGAGGTCACAGAATTAAGCGGGAGGTGAGATAGTAGAGATTTTGAACTTAAGGATTCAGATCTTGAATTCAATCTGTTGGGGGTGCAGGGGGAGTAGGGGGCATGGTTTGCAGAGCCTGGTGTGGGAGGGAAGTTGACTGCAGAGTTCTAGGTGGTCTATAGGTTGTGAATGGATGAGCTGAGGCGAGCAGGACATTTGAATAAACGAGTGTGATGTAGGTCTTGGAGACTGGGAAGTAAGGTAGGGACGCAGGCGGGCGATGTTGCAGAGTTGAAGAAAAGCAAGCAAGTAAGAACCCAGGTGCAGGGCTTGAAGCACAGTTGAGTGTCCAAGAAGACACTGAGGTTCTGCTCTGGGGTTCTGAGGTTGAGAGTGTATTTCTTAAATTGGGGTTGGGTGTTAACACTTTTTTAAGAGTTTGTTTCCATCAACATAAAAGAAAAAAACTTTCATTATTTTAGCACTTTATCATGTTGAAACATCTCAAAGTACTTCACAAATTACCACCAAGACTCATGATTGTTAATAAGGCAACCATTTGTGCCTACAAGATCCCACAAAGAGCCATGAAGTGAATGACTGAGTGTCCTTCCTTCACCACTCCTGTGTATATATTGGGCTTATTTTGGAAGCAAAGCTTAGTTCTTTTCTTCTGTTATTGTCAGCTGTTTTCAATACCCCAAGCGATGTTTACAATCTTAATTTCTGCTCTGGTGTTTAATTCATATTTTATTTGGATTCTTGTTTTTCCTGAAGCCCAAGTTTTACATTTTTAATTGGGTTATGAGTTTTTCAAGTTTGCAAAGTCATGAGCATCAATTTTTGGTCCCTTAATGCATTTTCTGTTTTTTTAATTTGAAATTGATTGATCGAGGCCTTTGGTTAGATTGTTATCACAGTTCATTTACCCTCGTCTTTGACCATTGCTGCCACCAGGTCTGTATGTGACCACCTTGTCATGCAGGCTTCTCAGTATCTAATTTACAGGCATGAGACATGCTTATAGTATCTGCTGTCCGCATACTAATTTCAGAAATGTACTTCCAGGGTCAATTCCAGCTCTCGTGTGTGTCAAAATTGCGGGAAGGAAATCCTCTAGATTTGTATGATGCTCATTGATACTCAATGCAAAGAGATTTGTTTGAACTCATGAGAAATTATAGCTCCGGGTCAGATGGAGAACTGAGCTCTAGCTGTTGTAAGGATTGGTCCAGAGTGAGTTATTAGTTAAGACAGATTCTGCATTGATTCTTTTAGCTGAGAATTATTGGGGTCCTCTGGGCTTACAGCCTTAGTGGACTAGTACACTGTAAAATCTAATAAATTTCCACCATTTTGACTTAAAACGCCTTAGTTATTCTATATCACTACCATTTTGCATTTTATCATTTATTTCTGTTTTTATTTAACTCCCCCTGGTCTCTTCTCTTCTTGTTTCTTTCAATTTTCTTTTCCTCACATATGTCTTGTTTTTATTCTTCTCCCCTCTTCGTTCAATGGTTGCTCTTCTGCATTGATTGAGAGCTTTTAAAATTGCTGGGGAAAAGAAGTAAAGTGCTGTAGTGGAATAAAAGCATAGACCACACAAATAATGAACAGTAATCAGTACAGGCTTTATTACGAGCTGTATTACAAGCGTTATTGCAAGCTTACCTTCCACAGTGCTAGCAAATAGAGTATTAGCAATCAGGTAAGGGTTAGCAGGAAATTTAAGAGGTGCAGTGAAAGCAAACAGACTGTCTTTCCAATCTCAAATAATTTATTTTACACTTATGAGGATGCACTCTATTGAACTCTGAAGAACTGACCCAATTTAAGTGCATTTTATAATGTCTTGAAATCCAAGGTCATACCAAGTACACATATATAGGACATAGCCTATGGCTGTGAGCATCTGTAAGGGATATTGACTTCTCCATGTCTAAAATCTTGTTGAAATCTGGAAATTCTACACTGAGATTTAACAGATTTATTTTTCTGTGTGCACCCTTAAGATGTGAAGGTCATAGGTAGAGAACGGAAAATAAGAAGGAATCACATCACACTCAACAAAACAATCATTACACAATTAAACAAATTATATCTCTGTCTACATCTTGGGTGGATATATTAGAAAATATTATTAAATTACAATTATTATTATAAATGACAATAGATAGGTTGTCAGCAAAGTTACAGGGTTATTACGAGAAATTCTCGCCTCCTGATTTTAGTTGCTAATGGTTGCAAAATAAGAGGATGCTCCTGTTCTGAGAATGTGGAAGCCTCTACATCCACAGACGTACAGATGTGCTCACAGGCTAGGCACAGCGCCTTGCCAGTTAGTTCTATTCAGTTTGTTTTGTCTTATGACCATGTGCTCCTGTTCACGTGGTGCAATTTTAGAGTGGAGTCACTTAGACCTCGCTCTCTAGAACTCTGTTATAAAATGCCCCCACCTATTCCCCTCCCTATCTCAAAATCCATTTGAAAACCTATTTCTTTGACCGCACCTTCATCACCACACCCCCCCACCGCCACCACCACCACTTCTGGCTCCCACTTTATCTCTGGAAAGCAGCCCGATTTTCAACCCATATCCTCTGCACTTCTGATTGTGTTTTATTACCCACTTCCGACTTCTCCACCATTTATGGCTATGCTTTCAGCGACCAAACCCTGCCCTCTGGCACTCACTGCTAAAAATCGTTTGTGTTGCTATGCGTCTGTCTTCAAAACCTGCTAAAGCCTATCTTTTTGATTGTGTCTTTGGTTAGGGCGAAACCTTAGGCAAGTTTCCTTACTCCACACGCCTAATAATAATCCCTCCAAAACAAAACAATAATAAATTGGTCATTTCAATCTACGACTGTTTGTGGGACACTGCTGTGCGCAATTGGCTGCCGCATTCGCCCACAAATATACAGTCAATTCACTTTACAGTGTGTTCTGTGAAGCGCTTTGGGACGTCCTCCTGACGTGAAAAGCGCTATATCAAATACAAGGATTATTATTTTATTATTATAAAGAGCTTGTGTAGAAACATGCTGATACAGGATTCCTTTAATACAGGCAGCTTACATCTCCATAGCCCACGACTGTTTTGTGAATGTTATTTAGAGTTCAATGTCAAAATCACAGTTTAATATAAATACGTAAAGAAAAGCTTAATTGAAGAGTTAAATTTCAGCTTGGTTTAACATTCAAATGACAAATTAATTTTAGAAAAATCGGGGATGCAGAAAGGTCATTTGTCTCACCTAACTTCTAGGACTTTAATGCGATCCAAAACAAAAAAAATAAATAAATTGGTCACTTCAATCCACTACTGTTTGTGGGACACTGCTGTGCGCAATTGGCTGCCGCGTTTTGCCCACAAATATACAGTCAATTCACTTTACAGTCTATTCTGTGAAGCGCTTTGAGACATTGAGAAGACGTGAAAAGCGCTATATCAAATACAAGGATTATTATTATTATTTATTCTTACATTTTTTACTTTGCTGTCCAACACTCCATTTATTTTGTGACATTCTTCTATCTGACAGGAACTAAATATATGTAAGTCACTGTTGTCCTGAGGTTGCATTGGGATCAAGGGTTCATATCTCAGGTTGGGTATTAAAGCAAGACAAGAACCCTCAATCACCAATGTTTTAACGAGAATGTTTGACGGTGACACTGAATGCCAAAAGTAGAATTGTGTTCCATTCTCTAACACCCACATTCCCTCCCCACGTCAATAAGCGCCAACAACAATATGTGCACTGTGAGTTGTGTGATAATACAAAATATCAAAACAGATAGGCCTGCACCACTTTGTACACATTAATTGATCTAGATTTTGTCCTAATATAGTTTACCACGATATAACATCAACGTTCAAACGGACAACAATCAAAATGAAGAAAGAAAACTACGGTAAGATCAATTCATTTGATGTGTGTAAATGGGAGCAAAACCCTAATTAATTTAAGTGTCTGGATCAGATTGGAAAGGGTGGAAATCCAATTACACCACTTAAGTAGAGAGGCTCTCCTTAGATTTTTCAATTAATTTGAAAGTACCAAAGAATACAATATTGTGCAAAAGTAGATTTTTGTAGATGTTCAATTTATACATGGATGTTTTATTGCTTCAGATATTAAAGAGGAAGGTATTTTATCAAGCTGTCACATAAATCATATAAAGGGAAAAGCCAAAGCTTAGCGCTGTGTCTTAGCCCTCCATTGGTTCTGTGTTCTTTGCATTCAAATTGCTGTTTAGAGTCCGCCTGACAGTAAACGTTGCATATGGTGAGTGTTGCCCACACATTTCTGTTTCACTTCATGATACTACTGTAGAGGAGCTTTCAGGTACAAGTGTCTGCTCCCACGCTGTCTCTAACTACCAGTCTGATGGCATGAAACCACTGGAACAGGAACCACAATGGCTTGGGGTCATGAAGAGTCATCCAGAAATTGTGGGGATCTGTCTTTAAATTAATATTGGCAGGTTGAGAGAATGCATTACCCTTTTAAGTAATTTATTTTTCATGTTAGATATACATTCTGCCTTGCTCCTCTCTATCCCCCTCTCACAACAAATACACTCTTGCACCATTGAAGTGCGCTTTAGTTATTAAGAAGACCCATACTAAGGATTTTGCCCATTTTTGGTTCATGATTTCTGCATTGTAAATGAATTGTGCACATTCTCCATGGGAATGTTTACGAAATGTTACAATGCAACCTGGGTGCTCTCGCTTGCGAGCCAAGGGCGCTAACTACTACGCTGCAGTACTCCACAATCAGAACTACATAAACAGATTTTCCGAACAGTTTAGGGTTAATCCTGGCTTACAGTTTTTTTTAAAAAATTCAACAATTTATTTTGCCCTGCTATCAAAACAAAACCTGGAGATACCCAGCACTGGTTATGGTGTTTTATTATGTGAATAATCTAGCATCTGCAGAATTCTAATTAAATGGAATGGAGATGGGCAGATGTTCTTGTCATTCTTTTTAAAACAAGCAGGTAAGTCTTATATCATTAACTGCAGAGAGGACAAGTGAGGTTAAAGAAGGCAGCAACTAACTGGGCAGTGGTAGCCATGTGTTTAGATTATCTACTGCCCTGCAGTGAAGGCTCCATCTGTTTGTTCTGCATCAGGATCGAAAGCAAGTGGAAATGCTCTTCCTTAGTATTGACACACCTCACGCACACAAACATAAACCTTTGGCAAATAAAAGAAATACAGTCTCCAAGGCATGCATCTGAATGGCTTGGTTTTGTTTGATTATAGGTTTGTTGGCCTAATATTACATGGTAAATTATAGAATCATCAAAATTTGAAATGCAGGCGGCAGCCATTCGGCCCATCAACAACAACTTGCATTTATATAGCACCCCTCACGCAGGGCAGAGTCCCAGAGCTTTCAATCCCAAAATTGAGTATGAGCAATGTACATCAATGTCCCAATGAATTACATAGTTTGTCAGTTCTTTGACATGACAAAATGAATGGCCAGAACAATTAAATCACCTTTTCCTCAAGGTTTACACACCGTTTTAAGACATTTTTAAAGTCTTTGTAGACGCAATATGTCAACTAATCTTCTCAAAAGTTACTTTACACCTGTTTGTATCCCGGTACTTTCAGGTATATGTATAGATTCTGGTGTGAATATTCTTTGACCTGTTTTGTGTATGTTTTTAGGGTATGGATTACGCTGCCACCGAGCTATTACTACAATAAGCAAGTTGATTGGCATTGAAGACATGTACGCAAAGGTTCAAGGTTCAACAAATCTATTGAATTTAACAAGAGCACTTTTTCAAGGATTATCAAAGCAGGTAAACTTACACCTAAAAGACTGTGGTCACTCAATCCATGGCGGTTTCTGGGAAACAGCTGTGCGCAATTGGCTGCCATGTTTCACCCACAAAATATACAGTCAATACAATATATTCTGTGAAGCACTTTGAGACATCTCGAAGATGTGATAAGGTGCTGTATCAAATGCAAGGAGTATTGCTGTTATTCCATACAATTAATCTGCTTAATTTTATTTTAAAATGATTATGTTTGGGAGATTCTAGAATTATTTAACACATTTAAATAACGTGTTAAATATTAAGGGCCTTGTATTATTCATCAATTATTTATTTTACTTTCCGAACTCCTCATTTATGCCCCTTTATACCACTTTTACATAAATATGTTTGATTGTAGAGACCTCTGCAGGCAACCTGTAATGTAAAGTGCCTGAATTTCTCACTGTTTTGTTACCTTGGACTTTCTTGAAGTTGCATCTTCAGCTGCGTCTATACTGCGCTGCTCCATATCCATAATAACAGGGGCAGTGCCAGGGTGAGAGGACATGGTGCTGATCTGCACAGGAATGTATGAGTTCCATCAGATAAGTGGCACAAAGGTAAAATCCATCATGCACACCCAAAACTGTCTGAAACTTATTTTCCCGATCTGTACTACCAAAATTATGGCAGCAGGACTAGGAACAAAGTCTGAGAGAAAAATTATTATTACATTATTCAGAAGCATCCCCTGAATTTCATCTGAAAGTGATCTAACTCCTGACTTCTGCTATTATTATTTAGACAGAGGTCAAAAAAAACTAAGATCTCCTAAGGTACAGCATATATACAAATTCATGACACAACACAATGCATTTATTTACATTATTTACACATCTCAAGCTACTGCAATGTTATTGCATTACTTGCATTGTGCACAATAATTTAATGCATGCGTAAATGTCAGAGGGTGCAGAAGAGATTTACTGGAATGACACCAGGAATGAAAGGTTTTATTTATGAGGAAAGATTGGAAAACTGAGGCTGTTTTCCCTGGAACAGAGAAGGTTGAGAGGAGACCTGATAGTGGTTTTTAAAATTATGATGGGGTTGATAAAGTAAACCGGAGAAATTATTTCACTAAATTTATTTACTCAGTTTATACATATATTCCGAGAATATATGCAGATTAGCATCAGGTCCTCTCACTCTGCCGCCCTTTATCATTATGGAGAAGGGACAGCTCAGTGTAGCTGCAGCTGTAAACACTTAAATCACAGAGTAACATTTAATCTTTGAACAAGGTGATGTGTACCTTGCCCGTGTCTGGCAGTCTCATCCTTTAATGATACAAGGACCAGTACGCACAAGGAAAGGGTAGAGTTCATTCACTATGATCTTTCGGCTTGTAAATTGTGAGATGATATCATTTATTGTCAATGTGCCTCTTAATATTACCACTTGTAATTGCATTCTCAGATGGTGGGGTCTGCGTTTTGTGACCAAAAGGTTTTGCCATTGGGGACATTAAAATGTTTGCATTCTTTACATTAATTAAATGGGTAACCCCTCCCGCCCCCTCTCCTCTATTGCTAAGAATAGTTCTTGTGAGCCTCAAGCTGTTCCTGTAACTGAGGTAAAGAAATTCCATAAGAGTTCCATATTGTAGAAATATTGTAAGACCTTCATATTAAGTGACTTAGGTGACTATAGGATTAAGGTTTAATTTTCTTCTCTCGTTCTCCCCTTTCAGGAGACTCACGGAGATCTAGCTGACAAGAAGGGACTCCATGTAGTTGAGTTTCGAAGGGAGTGTGGACCTTTACCTCTGGTTGTTGCCTCCCCTCATGGAGTGGTCAGGAAAGAGCCAGAGCCTGAAACCGAAGTACCAGATACCAAGTTGGATTGGAGTGAAGTCAAGGCAGCTCAGGGCATGAGGCGGTCCCCCTGGGCCACTGTAAAGCGTGCGGTTTGGTGAGAACTTCAAATTGAAGAGCAGGTACTGGGGAGGCAGTTCACTTACTGAAATTGCAACTAAAAGGCAGATATCCCAGTTGGTAGCGCGCAAGATTTCTGCAGAGCTCGGCGAAACACACAATTCTAATGTATGTTTAATATCTTTCCTGAATACAAGTAAATAAATGTAAGAATAAAATAGTTTTCATTTGTATTGTGGATCCTTTATTTGCTTGAATGAGGTGTTGTGAATACAACAACAACAACAAAATTACATTTATAGAGCGCCTTTCATGTCAGGAGGACGTCCCAAAGTGCTGAACAGTCAGATGTCGGGGCCCAAGCATGGGAGAGGGGTGGGGTATCGGTGAGGGAAGGCAGAGAGGTGGGAGGGAGACTGAAGGCATGATCGAAGAGGAGGGTCTTGAGACCGGCCTTGAAGGAGGCAAGGGAGGAAGCGAGGCGAAGGGACCATGGGATGGAGTTCCAGAGTGTGGGGGCAGAGAGGCTGAAAGCCCGGCCACCGATGGTAGGGCGGGTCAGGTGGGAGACATGAAGCAGGCCGGAGTCTGCTGAACGGAGGTAGCGGGCAGATTGGTAGGGAGTCAGCAGGTCAGAGAGGTAGGAGGGGGCAAGGCCATGGATGGCATTGAAAGTGAGGATGAGGATCTTGAAATCAATCCTCTGGGGGATGGGGAGCCAGTGGAGGCGAGCGAGGGTGGGAGTGATGTGGTCCTGGTGCGGGACAGTACACGAGCTGCAGAGTTCTGAATGACCTGCAGCGTGTGGAGGGAGGTGGCGGGAAGGCCGGCGAGGAGAGAGTTCCCATAGTTCAACCTTGAGGTGATAAAGGCGTGGACCAGGGTTTCAGCAGCGTGAGGGGTGAGGTAGTGCCGTAGTCTGGCGATATTCCGGAGGTGATGGAAGGCGGTGCCAGTTGTGGTGCGGATATGAGGGAGAAAGGACAGCTCAGGGTCGAACAGAACCCCGAGGTTCCTGACTGACTTTGAGAGGTGGAGAGTGCAGCCTTGGATGCTGATGCTGTCAGACGTCTCAAACCACTTCACAGAATATACTGTAAAGTAAATTGACTTTTGTGTACGAAACACGGCAGCCAATCCCGCACAGCAGTGTCTCACAAACAGTTGTAGATTGAGTGACCAAAGTTTTTTTTAAGGGAGTATTACTCCCGAAAAAGGGATATCCGCCAATTGACTCACAACTAGGTTCTTATCGCTAGAGACGTGTGGAATAAGGAAACTTGTCTAACTTTTCACCCTGTCCGGGAATCGAACTCAGGTCCATGCTTACGAGGCAAGCGCTCTAACCAATACGCTGCAGGACTCCACAAAATTCAATATCTTTAGACATAATTTCAATGGAGGACACACCCGCATTTCAGATTTTTCTCTCTTCCATCAACAAAAGTTGAATCAAAATTTATAAATTATACTATTTGGCTGGTTCAGATTGTACCTTTCACACTGCCTCCACTTCATCTCCACAAAAGTTTTTCCCTCGCCCCTGGACCGTCTCATGCAGCGTTCCTCGGGGCTCTGTCCTTGGTCCCCTCCTCTTCAATGTCTATATGCTCCCTCTTGGTGACATCATCCGCAGACATGGGGTCAACTTCCACATGTACGCGGATGACACCCAACTCTACCTCTCTGCCTCCACCCTTGACTCCAGGACCACTGCTGTCCTGACAGAATGTCTGTCAGACATCAAGTCCTGGATGAGAGCTAACTTTCATCAGTTGAACGTCAACAAGACCAAGTCTCTCCTGATTGGCTCCCGTCAGCTCCTCCTCATCTCAGGCGCTGACAGCATCACCATCCATGGTTGCACACTCCACCGTACTAAGCCAGTCCAGAACCGTGGGGTCTTGTTTGATCCTCAACTATCCTTTCTACCCCTCATCTGTGCCATGACTTGCTCTGCCTTCCCCCATCTCCGCAATATCGCCCGGCTCCGACACTGTCTCACACCACAGGCCGCCAAAACCCTCATACACACCTTCATTACATCAAGGCTCGACTATGCAAACTCATTGCTTGTCTCCCTCCCCAACTCCTCCCTCCACAGGCTGCAGATCATCCAGAACTCTGCAACCAGGCTCCACGACCCTATCACCCCCATCCTCACCCAACTCCACTGACTTCTCATCACAAATAGGATACAGTTCAAGATCCTGGTCCTCACCTTCAAAGCCCTCCATGGTCTTGCTCCCCCGTACCGCTGAGACCTCCTAACCTCCTACCATCCTGCTCACTCCCTCCACTCAGCGGGCTCCGGCCTGCTTCACGTCCCCCGCCTTGCTCACCCCACTATTGGTAGGCAGGCCTTCTGCCCGCTCTGTCCCCACCCTCTGGAACTCCATCCCGCAGTCCCTCCGCCTCACCCCCTCCCTCGCTACCTTCAAGACCCATCTCAAAACCCTCCTCTTCGACCGTGCTTTTGATCACCCCGATACCCCTCCTACACTCCCTGATCCCGACCCCCAGCTCGGGTCCGAAACTCTGACTGTCCAGCGCCTTGGGATGTCCTCCCGACGTGAAAGGCGCTTTACAAATGTAATTTTGTTGTTGTAATGATTCAGACCCATTCAAAAAATAGGAGTGCACTGAAAGATAGATGGGAGGTTGAGTGAGTGATTATGAGAAAAGAATATAAAAGTGAATGTAAAGGAAGAGTTAGATTGAATAAGACATAGTGTGAGAGGAAAAGAGAGACAGAAGTAAAAAATGACTGAGATAAATGGGAGAGAGGGGGGAGCAAGTGGGTGAGTGTATCCAAAGGATGGTATACATCCACCATTTTCAGATGAGAAAGAATGATGCAGTCTTTTGCTTTATAGGTAGGAGGAGGGTGCGAGTGGGTTATGTATTTATACCATAATTAAATGTACTACACATGTCTGACCTCTGCTTATTTTCTAAAATAACAGCTCATTTCCAAAATGTACATCCAATTGCCTTCTGCACTGTTATGCTTTGTGCCTGGTTTAGTGCCTGGTCTTTAGTTGAGTTCGACAACCTCAAAAGGCGCTATATCAAATGCAAGAATTATTAGTATTGTATAAGAATATGCACAACTGGAAAGAACATTAAGGTGTGTCTGACCAGTCTCAAAATTCTGAGAATCTCAGATACTCCTCTGTGTCTTTTACCATTTTATTTTTCTTTTACTAAAATATCTATCCCCAATTTCCTTTTGAATTTGCCAATATTTTCAATGTCTGGAATGTCTATTTCATACATTCATCACCCTCTCTGCAAATAAGTTAAATCTAAGCTGTCTGTTCTCCTTCTCGGAGCTGGAATCCAACGTGTGCATCCTTATATAGCTTGTGGTTAAGTGCAACACATTGACTAAATAATGTGGAAAGGAAGAACATTTAGGTAAAGTTAGGGAAGATAGATAAAATGATGCATGCATATTATCTGCTGTTTGTCGCATAGAAAACAATTTGTTAAAGCAATGTATAACACACTGGTTTGCAGACATCCATTCATTATGTGTTGTTGATTATTACGCTGTTTGGAAAGCACAGGATTAATAAATAATAATAACAGTATATACTGTAAAGTGCAGTGACTATGTTTTGTGGGCAAACACAGCAGCCAATTTGTGCACCAATTTGTCCCACAAACAGTCGTGAAGTGAATGACCAATTTTTATGGGGACTGTTGGCCAGGATATAGGAAGAAATTCCCTTCTCGTTTTCAATAGCGCCATGGGATTTTTGATATCCACCTGACCAGGCAGACAGGGCTTCAGTTTAACATCTCATCCGAATGATGGCACCTCCAACAATGTAGCAGACCCCAGCACCTCATTGGAGTGTCATCTTAGAGTGTATGAGTTGTAATTCGTCACGTGGGGTTTGAATCCACAACTTTCTGACTCAGAGTGAGAGTGCTACTAAATGAGCCAGCTTGACACAAACATCTTATCTATATTTTACGCAATGTGTGCACTATAGCAGAATCAGAAATCATTTTTCCGTGAACAATATTTATGCAGTTTGTAAGCAGTAAGGCAGCGTGTTGAGGGAGTGGGTGGGTGATTAAAAGGAGGCCCAATGTTTAATGGAATACTTTCTGAATTGTTTTTGAAACTCGAATGCACATTTGCACAGAGATATAAATCATTATGTTACTAGCTGCAAGTGCTTTCTTTGTACATGCCATTTGAAGTTTAAAGCTGAACCTTTTAAAATAACATCCTTATGGTGATTCAGATGTACAATAGCCAGGGTGTCAGCCTGGCTCAGTTGGTAGCACTCTCACCAGTCAGAAGATTGTGGGTTCGAACTCAACTTCAGGAGTCTTAGCTAGCTCATAATAATAATAATCCTTGCATTTGACATAGTGCTTTTCACGTCTTCTAGACGTCCCAAAGCACTTCACAGAATATACTGTAAAGTGAATTGACTGTATATTTGTGGGCGAACACGACAGCCAATTGCGCACAGCAATGTCCCACAAACAGTCGTAGATTGAAAATGACCAATTTATTATTGTTTTTTTTTTGGAGGGATTATTATTAAGCGTGTTGAGTAACGAAACTTGCCCAAGGTTTCGCCCTGTGCCTGGAATTGAACTCAGGTCTCTCGCTTGCAAAGAGAGTGCTCTAACCACTGAGCTACAGGACTCCACATAGTCTAGGCTGATATTCTAGGACAGTTTTGTGAAGATGCTACATTGTGATGCATGAAGTACCATCCTTCAAATGAGCTGTGAAACCGAATTCCCATCTGCCTGTTAAGGTGGGTGTGAAAGAGATCTCATAGCACCATTAGAAAGAAAGTGAAGGGAGTTTCTCCTGGGATCATAGCCAACAATTCCCCAGATAAAATTCATCATACGTGACTGTTTGTGGGACATTGCTGTTAATAAATTGGCTGCTGCATTCACCTATAAATACACAGTCACAATGCTCTACAGTAAATTCTTTGAAGATGTTGTAACATGTTGAGATGTGACAATTGTGACGATGTGATAAGTTGCTGTATTATTTATAAAAGGATATTATTATTAAAAGTGTTCATATCGAGGTAAATCATGTTTTCTAAAACAGTTTACTATATAATTACTGTAATTTTGCTTCTATGGCCCAGTAAATCTCTGGCTTTTAGCCTTGAGATAATTGAATTCAAATTTCAGATTGTGTACAATTTGGGAAGATTTCTCCAAATTCAG